CGCTTGCCCGGCCATATCCCCACTTGTTAATTTGTTTGATTATTAAGATACAAATGTGGATAATCAGAAAAATGTTTTACACGCCTGGGGAACGCAGTCGATTTCCAGCTGGCTTGCAAAGGAAGAAACAAAGCTCTGCTATCAGCAAGCGGTGGCAGCAGGATTGCCAACCAGGCAACCAAAACCTCAAGTGGGTGAGGAGCTGGGCTGGCCTGAGTGGCTCAGATAAACAATGAAATGGCATGGCTCCGAACTAAAGAGAGAGGATCAACCAGCAGATGTGGGGCATAGTGAAGCTGAAATCTTTCTCAAAGGTGCCCGAGGGCTAAATAAACCAGCTTGTCTACACAACATGGCAGTGTCTTGAGCTTGGCGGTAGTGTTGTCCATGGAAGGATGGACTCAAGAGTGAACAACTGCACCCTGTTTGTGGATGTGACTCAAAACAGTCTCTCAGCTCTTGTCTACATGGGAAAAGTTTTTGTTTGGAATAAATTTAGGGGTTTTTTGGCGGGGGAAGGGGGAGGAGAGAGAGAAAACTACCTTGAATCCTCACACTGAAAGTTCCTCTTTTGAACTATCTGGCATCTTACTCTGCGTTAATTAATCCCTGTTGGAAATGTTAATAGACTCCTTTAATCAACACATCCATGCTCCATCTTCTCCTGGCAGAGGCTCAGTGCAACAGACTGTAACAAGGGGCACCTGTCATTTGGGAGCTGGCCAGCTGTTTGTACACATCTCCCATGGCACTGCTTCAAGTCAACAATCACAATCTCCCAGAAGGAAAGGTGGGTAGTTGTGTGCATGTTAATAGCCAAACTAGACATTCCACCTGGCTGAAATGTCTCCAAACTAATGTTATAGGTGATATTTTACTCTCGCTAGGGATAAGTACGTTGGCTGCGTGACTACCTTCCCCTCCTGCTTTGCTTGGTCTTCAATGCTCTGTTAAGTTCAGCACAGATGAAAGTAATGAGTGTCACGCTGAGCAGAGTCAAGCATACTTCAACCCTGGGAGCAAACCAACAAGAAAGTGTTTCAGCCAACTGTACTGCTACAGTCTGGCCTAGATAGAGAGGCAGTCTCTGACAGTCAGCTTGCAGGCCTTTTACGGGCTCATGTTGACGGTTTAAACAGCAGTGACTGATATTCTGCACTGGCTGAAGCTTCTGAGTGGACCTCAAGTGTAACCCCAAGTTGAACAGTTTTAGAGTCCAGCCTGGAGCTGGCAAAGGCATGGACCACCATGATGAGGTCACCAGCAGAAAGGAAAAGTCGCGATCTCTACGTCAGAATGCCTGTTAAGCCACTGCTGTCACCTGAGAATTGCAACGCACGGGGATGGATCCCATGGGATGCTGAGATTGCAGACTGAGTGCCCAGGCTCTCTTCTTTCAGCTGAGAAATTTTAGGTGCACCTCTGGAACCCACCAACTCCATGCCATAAATGCTCACAGCAGATCACTTGATTTCCCTATAGCCTTCTTTGCCTCTTCTAGAGACTCAAGTTAGTTGTGCTTAACAACACTCCAAGCTCCCTAGGCCCTGGTCTTGTGCCATAGCAGGATGGGCTTTTTTTATATTTCATCTCTAAACTGTCCTGGTAGTTGTAAGAGATGCTCCAGGTCAATGCAAAGCACAGTTAATTACATGATAGCGATGCATTCTTTATGATGCCTCTGAGAGTGATTCCTGCTGAGCGGTAAGTGTTTGAGGGAGTTTGCCTGAAGGGAGAACAGTTCAATTCCAGAGGCATATTTGGTGTAGCTGGGCTTGATCGTTAGGAGACTAAACTTTGCAAATTAGAGCTGAGCTCTGAAGGGGCAGCCCAGCCAGCCAGCTGGGGGAATCTTCTCAGCATAAAGGCAATGCTCCTGAAGTTAAAGGCCAGCTGAATGCCTCTACTCTGCCCACCCCATGTAGGGACATGCTGGAGATGGATTGGACTAGAATGCAATGTGGTCTGGCTATAGGGGATTCTGCTGCCTGCAGAATCCAGGAGGCACAAGGACACGCCCAAGCTCCCCCGTCTTCGCTGCCTGTCCTCTGAATTGGGGCCCCAACTTGCAATGAATTATTTACTTGCTGAACTGAATCCTGTGTGTGTGAATTCAAGGGCAGCAGTGTGGGGGCAAAGAAAACTAACCTGTTTTAAGACGGAGCTTGATGAATTTATAGAGGGGATGGTATGATGAGATTGACCACAATGGCTCATGGCCCATCCGCGACTGCCATTAGCAAATCTCTCCAATGGCTGGAGTTGTGACCTTCGACGGGAGGGCTCCGAGTCACTACAGAGAATTCTTTCCCAGGTGTCTGGCTCTTGGGTCTTGTCCACATGCTTAGGGTCTAACTGATCGCCATATCTGGAGTCAGGAAGGAATTTTCTCCTAGGTCAGATTGGCAGAGTCCCTGGTGTTTTTTGCCTTCCTCTGCAGTGTGGGGCATGGGTCATTTGCTGGTTTGAACTAGATTAAATGGTGGATTCTCTGTAACTTGAAGTCTTTAAATCAAGATTTGAGGATGTCAGTAACGCAGCCAGAGGTTATGGGTCTATGACAGGAGTTGGTGGGTGAGGTGCTGTGGCCTGCGTTGTGCAGGAGGCCAGACTAGACGATCATGATGGTCCCTTCTGGCCTTAAAGTCTATGAGTCTATGAATTTCCCCCAACCAATTTTACTAATTCAAAATGGCAAATGTCATTCCCACTTCCCGGGGGTGCTGCAAGGCTGAATTCATTAATTCTTGTAAAGTGCTTTGCAGTTCCACGGCCCCTCAGGATCTCAAAATATTGTCACTGTTCTTTCATCGTATCAATATTGTTGGAAATGAGGGCGTTGCTTGGAAGAGGAAAAGCCGGGAGGAGCATATCCAGGCACTGTTTAGAACTAATACTTTAACATTATTGGCTACTACGGTCGTTAGGTATTTAGCTAGTTAGAACTTGGAGTGAAAGATCGCTGCAGGGGCAGACATTAGAGGGTGCCGTATATGAAAGGGAACTAACTGTCCACTTTAAGATATTCATCTGTCTGTTGTAGTGTCCCATGTGTCAAGTACACAGCCTTCCTGGAGTAGCTGTTGGTCTGATGATTGCATATGTGAGAGCAAATATGACATAAGTAGGAGAGAGAGATTCCTGTCTTAATGGCTCTTCAAGCATCCTGGACGACCAGCTGCTGCCAAGCATTCCAAGTAGGTGGGGGGGTTGGACTGAGTCTTGGGACCCTGTTCCTGCTTCCTCTGAAGTCAATGGCTCAGCTCCCATTGTGCTCAGCATGGCAGGCCCGAACACTCAATGTCCATATGGTGGGCATTTTCCAACCAACATAGCAGCCGTGTCCTGCCTACCATGGGTCAGAAGTTCTTGAATGAGTCAGTGTTAGGCAGGCAGACAGGTTACTGCGCACCTGGGCTGGGTCCCTTGTGTTTCCTGGGATCCTGGGATGCCAGAGGAGGATGGTGGAACCAGTTTTTCTGCTCTGGCAGTGGAACTGGGGAGGAGACAGTACAAAATGACAAGACAGGAACTGCAGAGCTACTGCTACCAGCTAGAAACTTGGGAGGCCGCTTGCCTTTTCCCCTGCCAGGTAAGGCCACTTTCTTCTCCTCCTTGGTGTCTTTCTGGGGATTTACAGCCTGGCTTTGTTACATGGAGACTCTGAGCAGTGGGGAAATGCGGGGAGTGATCTAGTAACCGGTCTCGCTCTGTTTGATGTCAGGTACTGAGACACAGACATTTTTGCTTTGAATCCTGTTCTGCAGTACTCCCGGAGGGGGGAAATTGCAGTTCAGAAAGCAGTCCACCTGGACAAGGCTATAGCAGGGGTGGCTGTTATCATTTGTAAATTCTTTGTGCCCACAGGAAATAGCGAAATACAGATTAGCATATTTGCATAGGCTTTATGAATATGCAGCTTTGTTTTATTTGGTCTATAGGGCATTCTGGTTTGACCTTTTACTTTGGTTCATTCAGCCTCAAGGGAAAACTGCAGTTTGCCAATTACATGCTTATTGTCGCTGTCTGCTCACCCACTGTATAACCCAATAGTCTGGCGAGGTGACTGCAGCCTTTTAAAAAATGATTTTCCAGAAAGTGGGGTGAGCACGAGAATGAGCTCAGGCTAGAACCGGCCAAACCGGACCTGGCTTTAGAAATGGGTTAGAATGTCTATAGCTTTCATCTCCGCCTCCACCCACACAGTCAAATGCACGGCAATCGAGCATGAAAGCAAACCGGCCTGGCGAAGTGTGTGACACTGAGATTGGATCATGTTCACCAGGGTGAAGGGGGGTATGCCCCGCTCCTGGAGATCTAGCAGGACTGACCTTTCCCAAGCGAGTGGAGACTTGTGAGGTGCGATATGGGTGACTCCCAGGTGTACATGCTCAGCGCGGCAACTTTGGGCCTTTCCTGTTTGATCACCAAGAGCGGTTTCCATTCTCTGCGGATACAATATGTGGCTGTACGGGAGGTGTGAGAAAGAGAGGACTCCGTGACTAGCTCAGTCTGATCGCTGCACCCACTTCCCAGGTGACCGATATGACAGTAACTCACTCTGAGTGACGCTGTCATGCTGTACCCCTTGGGGACCTCCAAACAACTAGTCTCACCCTTCACACTCAGAGACTCATTGATTTTAAGGCCAGAGGGGACTGTTGTGATTACCTAGTCTGACATCCTGCATAACACAGACTAGAGAACCTCCCCGAGTGCTAATTCCTGCATTAAGTCCATGCCTTCTGGCTGGACTGGAGCAGATCTTTTCAAAGGCCATCCAGACGTGATTTAAAGACTTTCAGTGATGGAGAATCGGCCACAGCCCTAGGTGAGTTGTTCCACTAGTTAATTTACCCTCATTGTTGAAACAGGAATGGTCTCATTAAGGCTGTATGCAGAGGGTTTCCATTAGCCCAGGAAAATAACCGTTCTGGAAGGTGTTAAAACATTCAGGGCTCATCCTTAACCTGCAGGTTAAAGGAAAGCAGAAAGGTGAGTGTTGGGGACCCAGAAACAGTCGTTTTAATGCTGCAAAACTCAGATCAATCCTGAAAATCACACAGTACTGTAACTTCTCTCTCTAACCCTATCCTGGTCTGGGGATGTCTCTTTTCTAGGTGTTCTGAATCGACGTGCGAGAGCCAGGTAGCTGCTGCAGAATGTCTTCCATCTTAAAGAGTGAGTGCCTTTGCATCCGGGCAGGGAAACCACAGCAGAATTGAGTCATGAGCACGATGTGGGATAAAGGGGTGTTGTGGAAGCGAACTCTCTCTCTCCAGCCTACCTGCTTCAGGCCCAGAGTCCCATCAGTCCTCACACACAGTGCTAGTCATTCGTCACATTGCTAACTGCACGTAACCCTATGCTGTAGTCACCAAAGGGAGCAGCTAGGTGGCTATCTGAAATCCCACTGCCAGTTCCTCTTTTCATCCCCCCGCCAAGCTCTTCCCTTGTCCTTCTCCCGGAAATATCCCACTCTCCTCCCTGTTGCCCAGGCTTGGAACATTTCACATACATCTCTACTCTCATGTTGGTCTTCCCAACCCTCTTGCCACAGAGGGCGAGCGGAACGTCTTGCTCCTCTGAGGGCTTGCGTACTGCAGAGGGGATTGTGTTCTGGTGCAAATGGAGGTGTTGCGGAAGGAAGCTCAAGTGCTAGGCACTGGCCTCTGCGGTGAATGGCTATAAGACTCAGTTTTCTGCCTGCCCTCTCCCTCCTTTGTGAATACGCTAGAAGGGTGTGCACAGAGAAGGGGCATGTGTGAGGTTGTTGGGATGGTGGCGGGCAGGGCTTACTTGCAGTTTGTCTTATGGTCCTAAAAGATCATGCTTCCCGGTTTCAGACAGCTACCGCAGGGGTCAGGAAGGGATTTTTTTTAACCCCTTAGTGTATTCTGGAAGTAGGGTTTTTTTTTTTTTTTTAATCTTCTTCTTCTGAAGCAGCAGGGCCGGGCATGGCTGGAGATGGGACATTGGTGAGGTGGGCCAAGGCTCTAAGGTGGTCCCAGGCATTCTGTCTCTCAGGAGCTTGGCTGGCTGGTTCTTGCTCACGTGCCCAGGGTCTAACTGATCGCCATGTGTGGGGTCAGGAAGGAATTTCCCCCCCAGGTCAGATTGTCAGTGACCTTGGAGGGTTTTCACCTTCCTCTCCAGCATGCGGGTGCGGGTCACTTGCCAGGGTTATCTGGGTTTATCTCACTTAATCATTTCCTTGCCATTGCAGGGGCCTTGAGCACGGGTGGGCCTCAGTCCCTCCTGTTCTCTGCCTGTGGCATGCCATAGCCTCGTCTCCTGCTGGCTGCCATCCTATGGCCTCATTCTGGTTGTTGGGTTTAGTGGGAGGGTGCTGGGTCATGTTGGTGGCCTGTGCTGTACTGATCAACTCAATGATGTTCTTAAACACAATCCCGCCTCATGGTAATGAGGCCCATGTCCCCTCTTGGCCTTTACTGGGCTGGAGTCACGTGGAAGCCAGGCACCCTGCTGTCAGTGGTGCAGGATTGGGGGTCCCTAGCGCGTCTCATCCTTTCATCCCTTTCTACCTCGTGCTTTGATGTGTAACACTTGGCACGCAGGCTGAGCTCCCTCTCGAGCCGGTGGGGAGTGCCAACTTAACTGTCCACTCATTCTCCTCCTCAGTGTTCGGAAGAGAAGACAAGAAGGATCAGGGCAAAGAGAAGGAGAAAGACAAGAAGGAAGAGAAGGAGAAAGACAAGAAAGACGGAGACAAGAAAGACAAGAAAAAGAAGAAGAAAGAAAAAAAGGTGAGGAACTAGTGGAGAATTCCCACGTTCCGTGTGTTGTCTGGGCATTTTGGATTCCCCATCGCTGCGGCGTGATTAAAGCTGCCATTTCAGTACCTCAGAGCCATTAAGGAATAACAAATTCCAACCTCTTTGACTCAATTTCGGAAAGTTTTCCTCCCCCAGCATCCCCTCCCGTGCAAGCTGCGCGTGCCATTGTGGGTTGGGTTCGTGCGTGATGAAGGTTCTGCCAGCCCTGCGCTCAGGCTGCTTGCACGTCCCTGGTGCTCATTGGGCAATCGGATGTGGTGCTAGTCCCGGGTGCAATTCTATGAGCAGACTTTGGGCCTTAGGTGCTCTGAATCTCTGCGTGTTTGTATTCCCACCTCCTAGGATGGTGGCACTGTGTGTGTTACAGCTAGTACTGAGCATGAAAACCATTTCTCGGGGAGGGGAGAGTCAGGCAGGCTGTCTGATCATTGCCCCATCTCCTCCCTCACCTGGAACAGAGGAAGTGAGAGTTAACATTGTCCTATGCTGTAAAAGCAACAAAACAAAATGCAAGTGATCTCTCTTCCTCCACCCAATCTGCCAGCAGGAGATGAGCCTCCGGATAGACATTGACCCTGGCTGGGAAGCTTTGTTCCCAGTGCAGTGGTGCTATCACCATTGTAGTCATGAACCCTTTCTTCTGTGCCCCTTAGGGAGAGGGAGATGAAGATGACAGCAGCAGCAGCAGCAGCTCCGACAGTGATTCTGAAGAGGTAACCGGAAACTGATCAATGCCTAGCAGATCTACTGGGCGGGGTTGTTTTTTCCTTTGCTTTAGATTAGAACATCCTTGTCCAGCCTGGGTCTCCTTCTGAGAGATCAGCCTCTGCTGGCCCCTGCCAGTCTGGGGAAGGAGTAACAAAATCACATGGGTGCACCGCAAGGAAGCCCTGCTGCTACCATGTTAGTGCTACAGCCGGAGTCTGCAGGTGGTTCTGGGGACTTTTCTTCTTCCCTTTCCTGGAGATGGGGTGTGCATGGGGTGGCCACTAACGGGCATGAGAAGAGGTCAGAGTGGGGTGACTTTGAAAATACCCCCATGGGTAAGTCGGATCTGCTACAGGACCTGCTGAGAACCAGCTCCAAGCGCAAGCCCCATTCTGCCTCTGGTACCCAGTGTGAATGCTCACAACACATCCGCAATCTTGGAATCTTGTGAGCTGCTGGAAAAGAGGCTCCGCCCCTGAGGTTTTCTGACTGGCTGCCAGATCGGAGATCCACTTCCCCCACAATGCACCAGACACTCTTGGGAATTGTGTCATGTTTTTGCTCTTAGAAGCCCTGGGGAATGGCATCCCCTGTTATAAAGGATGCCTGAAGGACAGCTAGCCGTGCCATGTAAACAGCTATCCACTGTCTCAAAAGCCCATCCAACCTCCCAGGAAACCTTGTGGTCTGGGTAACGTAGCCATCAAAAGATGATGTGCCACAATCATTCTTCCCGTCATAACTCCAGTGGGCTCACATCTGCCATTGGACTCATCCATGCCACTCTCATCGAAGTTGTGTGTCTGTATCAGGGTAAAATTTGACTAGTGGGTGTTGCAAGCCCATTGGTTCTAGCCGAGGATGACTGTAGTTCGGTGTTTATCCATGCAGATCCCGTGAGAGTGGGCAAGAGAGAGGGACGAGGAAATACACATCAGCTGCCTAGGCTCTCACACGCCCTCTTGTTTCTCTTTAACTTATCCCCTAGGGTCACCATGGCGACAAGAAGAAAAAAGAGAAGGATAAAGAATAACTTCTGAGGAGCCAATGGAGGCCACATTTGTGTTTCCTGCCTTCGCCCAGGTGCTGGGTAGTGTGAAGGAGAAGGGGATCAATTGGGAAAAACTGCACTTGGTGCTGAGGATGTTTCATCCAAATAAAGTTGTTTTAGTACTAAAAAGACAGACTCTGTTTATTGACCACAGTCAAGCTTCCCCCTCCCCACCACCATCTGCACGGAGCTGTCACTTCCCTCCTTTTACTAATAATTAGCTTGTAACATTTTCAAAGCTCTGTACTAATAGTGGAGCAAATTTAATGCAGGCCATTGGAATGGGCACTGGACTGGGAGCCGGGTGATCTGTGTTCTGGCTCTGACTTACTGTGTGACCTTGGTCATGTCACCTCACATCCCTATGCCTCTGGTTCCCCTCCCACCCTTTGTCTGCTTGTTAGCTCTTCAGGGCTGGGATTGTCTATTGCTATGTGCACATACAGCACCTAGCACAATGGGGCCCTGATCTCAGCCAGGGCCTCTACCATAATACAAATAATAATGGTGTAAGCTCCATCAGAGCCAAGGGAGGTATCACCAATTACACCAAGACTGAATTTAGCCCATGGATTTCTGCAGCGCAGACCTTCCCTGGGTTCCTATGCAGATGGCGTGACTGTGCACTGTCCCTGAAAGGTTATGGGACGGGTGAATATTGTTATCCCCAATTTATATAGCTGGGTGCTCGCAAGAGACCATGGAAGGATCCAGGGATTCACCCACCACCTGCCACTCAGTGCTGTGCTTAGACCACGGATTAGGCTGCCTTTGATTTTTGCATGTGTTCTCTTTCCCCCTGTTCAGTTACTGGTTCCTCCTCCTTCCGGCACTCACACGGCTCCTAAGGAAACAGCCAGCAGGCGCAGCTCTCTGGAAATCCAGACATCATGGTCTGTGATGGATCTGTCAGTCAGAGACGCCCAAGCACAAGCCAGATATTTCAAAAGGGCTCAGAACATTCAAGGCTACCAGGCTGTTAAAACCAAATCTGCTTTGAAATTGGCTCTTTTCTGTTAAAGTGAAAAATGGGTCAATTGTGAATGTTTTGCTCTTTGAAAACTTAACTATGGGCTCAGCACCGAGGTGATTATCCAGATTATAGGGCAGTCTTCAGCCCAAGGTGACACACACAGCTGACAGCTAACCCGCCCCGCTCCTGACAGCATTTGATTTATTTATGGCAATCCAACCATCGTCATATAACCACCACCCAAGGTGAGGGAGCTGCCATTAAAAATGAGGCATCACCTCCATCTACTGGTGAAGTGGGTTTCTTGCAGCTAATCTAAATGTTCCATAACCATTACCCCAGGGCTGTTCCCTGGCAAGCCACATGGTTGCTCCGTCTCTCTGAGAGACCATAAAAAAACATGAAAGAGGCCGAGCAGGCTGCCGGCACTTGTTGAGTTTTTTCTCTGTGCTCTAATTGGTTACATTTTGATAGTGCATCTCCATGAAGTTAGTACATTATATATGTATGAAGTTAGTACATTATATAAATACTGTCTAATTAATATGCGGTATGATCTTACCTAACACACCACAGACCGTTTCAAAGGGGGAGCCCTGCCACAGATCTCTGCTGGCTTTGCAATTTGGCAGCTGGCACGTATAAAGATCACCAGCGGCAGGAGCAAGTTTGTTCATCCTGAGCTAGGCCTTGCCCCCTCCAACCCGTCTATATTAAGGCCCTGATACTACAAAGTCTTATGCACCTGCTTAACTGACACTGCACTGACTACAGGCTTGTCTACCTGGGGAAACTGACCGGAAAGCTATTGTGGAATAAACTGTTCCACAAGAGTTATTGCGGAATAAAAGTCCACATGGAGAGCTAACCCCGAATAGCCACTGCACTTTGACTTCACAACCTACCTTCCTTCCTTGTGTCAATAAGCCCTTAATTTAGGGCTGGCCACAGCCCCTTATCGGTAATGGGCACCCAGGAGCAGCTGGGGTGTCAAATGTGCCAGAGCCCCTCCTTCCCCCTCTTCCATTCCCAGTACAGCCCTATGCTGAGGGGATTCAGTGTAGCACCATTGTGCCATTGCTGTGCCAGGGGGGGATATTCTCCATGAGGAACCTTTCTAGTGTTGTAACGAGGCCTTAGAGTAAGAGAACGAGGCCTAGGTTTTAATACTGATTGCAGTTTTTAGACTGTAAAGTCTTAGGAGAAACGATCATATTTTTGTCATGCATTTGTACAGCTGCTAGCACCATGGGGTCCTGATTCATTATCGGTGTCCATAGGCACGACTGCAATGCAAATAAATCGTACGAATCATCATGAATTGAAGAAACACCATCTTTACAAAACAAAGCAAGCGCTCTCCAAATGTGGACTATCCGTTTGCTTGTTTTACGATGAAAAGTATATTTTACATTTACTTTGCTCAGCAAAGGGGGAAAGAAGAATGTGTTGCTAAAGTGGATTTCAGACAAACAAGTGTTTAAAAGCCAGGATCACTGGGGTTTTATTTAAACCAAAGAACACAGCTTCAAATATTGTCTCCATGTAACTTATACAGCTGGATCTGAAATAGTCACCACAAACAGCAGGAAATAAGTTACAAAATACTGCACTAATTATAGACTTTGGTGAAAAAAAAAATCTTATAGAATGGGGATGGCAGGGGGGAGGAGCTGAATTGCTTTCTCAACGCACTGCAAGTAGTTGTGGTGTACTAAGCAAACACCAAGTCTAAACGTTGTGTATAGTTATATTTAGGTTTGGATGGAGTCGATTTCTAATTGGTAAACGTCAATTTCACCATACACACACAAATGGATGGAAAAATATTTCCACTGCTAAGAATCAAAACAAACGGAGAGGCAAAGTAAGTGAAATGCTGCCTGAGAATGCAGCGTTCGATTGAAGGATACTTACTGTGTATATTTTGACATGTGATGCTGACAATTTGTGGTTTACTGGTTATAAAACTTTAACTTTCTGACCTGCAGCAGCTACTGTCATTAAATGATTATTGTCTGCCCCCCCCTTGTCTGATCCTTCCATAATTCTGCACAATTATGAACATGTAAAGCGATAAAACGGATGTTAGGTGTCAATAGTATTACGAAAACGACCGCCTTCTCCCAAGCCTAGGTCTGTTTTTTCAGATTAACACGGAGCCCTCGATAGAAAAGATTGTTACGCAACATTCTCTGCTTCCACTTTAGCTTTCGCTTCTAAAGTGCAGGACGCGTGGCAGAGGTCTGGCCTAAAGCCAAATATTGGCTACATCAGAGCATTTTTACGCTCAGCTGAGGCCTTACTCAAGGTCAGTGGGCTTCTGGGGGGATACTTTCTGGCGTCAGTGTGCCTTTGCTTCATGCAACCATGAGGGTGCCCCATTGGTGATGGATTCTCCAGCATCACAGACCCTGTGTTCCAGAGAGTGCAGGGGCTGCTCCTCTGATAAGTCGCTCTGGGGACAACTGGGTGGGGAGTGGGCAGCAGGTTGTGCCACAGCTCTGCACCCCATCTACCAGCCAGCAGTGGGCAGATTATTCTCCCTTGCCCCGCGGTGCAACATGGGTAAGGATTTAGGAGGCAGAGTCCCCCTTTCCCCCTGCCCTTGGGACTGTGCGGCTTCTCTCCCCGCCCTTAATTCCATCGGTGCCTCAATTCTGCCCAAATCCACTGCTACCTGTGTGCAAACATCACTGTTGTGGGGAAAGTAGGACCGGGTGCTTAATTTGTTTTGCACATTTCAAAGACCGCTCGTGCTCGGCACGCTACATCATTTCTACGACTAACGGCTTTTGCTCTGGCAAGCAGTGTAAGGTTTCCTGGACCGAGGCACTGTCGTGTGAATGAGGACTTTCTCCAGGAGCCACTGCTATACACGTTCGTCTTCCTCAGGAGCTGAACCTGTCCCAAAACCCCAGCATCCCGATGGCCTTGGCTAGATCATGGCAAGTGCAGAATACCATCCACACTGTATTACCAGACATTATTTTCACCTTAGAGCCTCCGTTAGAGACCAGGGCCCCATTGTGGTAGGTGCTGTACATAAGGTGACCAGACAGCAAGTGTGAAAAATTGAGACAGGGGGTGGGGGCTAATAGGCGGCTATATAAGAAAAAGCCCCCAAAATCGGGACTGTCCCTATAAAATCGGGACATCTGGTCACCCTAGCTGTACAAACACAGCATGTGCAGCCCAGATTATCATTGCACAAGGAAGGAGCAAAATCATTCAGTCGCTTTGCTTTCATTCAGAAAAATTCTCTCCAGGCAATGACAGATTTCCTCTCCCCCCGTATTCCAAGAATTATTGTGGAAGTAGCCAACTCCATTATTTCCACGCCCCTGGATTACTGGGCATGACTCATGCATTTGGTTCAAATCAGAATGATTTCATCAGTGATTTGCAAACAAGAGGGATATTTAAAATTAATTGACGTCCCAGCTCACCCATGCGAGTAAACCCGTGCTGAAATCCAGCTGAAGCCAATGGGATTTAAACACTTAGAGTTAACGATGCGCATTAGAGTTTTGCTGGATAAAGAGACTTAACTGAATTGGGGCCTGAATATGCAAAAACCATGCAAAACATTTTGCTCTTGCAAAACCTCACTTGCCTCAATGATTTTGTGAACGGTACCGAGTCTTGCATGTAGTTTTGTACTATCAGACTGCGGCGCGTGGATAAAACCCACCCACCCCACAACCATTTGGTAAACTCAGCTAATGCCCTGTAGATCTCTGATCAAGACAGGTTAGCCTTTTATTGAGGCCTTCATTTAACACCCATCTCTTATATAGTGCTTGCAAAGAAAGTCAGTAACATTAGCCCCTTTTTACAGATGGGGAAACTGAGGCAGAGAGAGGAACGTGGCTCCCACAGCAGACCAGGGAATTGAACCCATGATGCCTGAGTCCCAATCCAGTGCTCCATCCTTTAAGCAACACTGCCTCATTCATCAATGCACTTAATCAGGTGTCGAAGTGCCTGAGTGGTCCCCCTGGGATGCCTCAAAGTGCTCTGCTGACTCCGGGCCTTACAGAGAAGGAACTTTATGAAAAAGAATGACTAGAGCAACCAAAAAGCCACGTTATATAAGTCTCCTGGGTGGGGAGTTGGAAGGAGAACAACAAGAGAAACCGGCAGAGCCATAGTT